CAGAGCTTTTACCTGGTGCCTGAAGCTATGAAAGGCAGATCCCTGGCCAGCAACGCACTGGGCTTTGGGAAGTTTCAGGCAGATGGGAGCAGGGAGAAAAGGAATGGTACTGCCCTGGAAGTATGGTGGCAGGATCTTAAGGGATCCTAAAAAGAGAGGCACCAGAGGAAGAGGCTGAACCATACTGTTGGCAACTCAGGCTGCAGTCATAATTATGTTTACCAACTTTGTCAGATATGTTATTGTTTCAATACAACTTTATTTCTTTTCCTGTTGCTGTGATAAAATGGAACTTAAGAGAACAGGGGTTTGTTTCAATTCATAGTTCAAGGTACGTTCCATCATGGCAGGGACCATAAGGCAGCAGGAGTTTGAAGCAACCAGTCATATCATACCTACACTTTCAGAGAATGGTGAAGGCAAGTTAAAACTCAGCTCACTTTCTCCATCTTATCCAGTCCAGAGGACCACACCCAGGGAATGGACTAGCCCTCAATTAAGATGAATTTTCCCCACAGGTGTGCTCAGAGGCCCATATCCCAGGTAATTCTAGGACTTCCAAGTTAATTAATTCCCCACCTGACTTTTTATTTCCATCTCTGGGACCCCGTAGGAGAGTGGATGTGGAGTGAGTTGAGTTTCAGTAATTTTGGTGACTGAATGTTGAACTGAAGACGAGGTAGGCTAGGGGAGCAGAGGAGCGATGTGGAGATGCAGCCAGAGGAGAGCCGAGCCTCTCTTCCCTATGTCTGCTTCTCCCGATTTAACTCAGAAAAATAACCTAAGAGCAACTGTTCATAAATATGTGTCTTGCTCTATAGAAAGAAAAACTCATCAAATCAATAATTCCAGTCATGCAAATTTATTTTTGAATATGGGAGGGAGGAAGGTAAATTTGATGTAATTACTATATCATTTGACTTAAAATTAAGTCCATTGAAGAAACATTTATTAAATGTGGGCACAGAGGGTAGAGAAACACTGGAGCTGCCAAAAGGCTTGTGATGCCGATCTAGCCTTCCTGGCACCCCCAGTTCTGGGATTCTAGTTTCCAGGGCCAAGGCTATGAATTGTATGTGTGAGAAAGAATATGATAGTCCCTCATGGTTACTGTAAGTCAGAACCTAGCATTTGATACAAACTTGTTTCTTCCCTCATCTTTTTCGGTCATTATTAAAATCTGGAAGAACCAAGTATGATGGTACAGACCAGTAGTGCTAGGGAAGTGACAGACAGACAGACAGACAGACAGGACACTCAGCAGTGCTGTTTCCAGCTTCTAGAAAGAAACTTGAGAGGCTCGAGGATGCCCCTTGGGCTTCAGATTTTACTTTGGGGGTACTCAGTCACAGGTAAAAATATTCTTCAGACCGGGCAGTAGTGGTGCACGCCCTTAATCCCAGCACTTGGGAGGCAGAGACAGGCGGATTTCTGAGTTCAAGGCCAGCCTGGTATACAAAGTGAGTTCTAGGACAGCCAGGACTACACAGAGAAACCCTGTCTCGAAAAAAAAAATATTCAAACTTGTGGAAAGAGAATTGCAGTAGACTGTATGAACATAGTAGGTAGGAGGTCATGCAAAAATCCACGTGAGACACAATGGTGGCATGGTGGAATTGTGGAAGTCCTCAGGAGAGAGAAAATGAACAGACTTAAGGTATATTTGGAGATAGAATTAATACACAGTGGTGAATAATTGTTCAGGGCCAGTGTGACATGCAGGATAGTGTCAAAACAGCTGCTGGGACTCTGGTGGAAACCATCAGAAGACAGTGATGTGACTGAACAAGATGGAGAAAAGCTAACAACAACAGCAGCTGCAACAGTAATAATAAAGAGAAAGACAAATGGCAAATCTTTTTGTACCAGTACAAAGAGTCTAGCGCCTACTTAGAAATGAGTAAAGGGCAGAGAGCATGTTGATTCCTCAACCACTTGCTAAGGCTAGGAAAACATGTTTACATTGAAGATACAAAGATTAAGATGCCATGGCATCTGGCATCGTGTGCCTACCTCATCGACAAGATAAAGCAGGATCCTGATGTTTACTATTGAGGAGAGCAAGAGGAGCTGGCATGCTCGCAGTGCTGGTAGAGACGATGCACTCTTTTATGAGAGGCACTTACACATTTTCAAACTTATGTAGCTTAAGTACATAATCAAACTGCCACGTGAGAAATATGGATGAGATATTAATTAGTGAAAATTGTATACATCCATCAGTGGGGAATTAATTACCTACCTACATAACCATTATAGAAAATGCTTTCTTAGTAAGTTAAAAACATATTAAAGTCAGCATCCGTGGTTGCGACCCTGCTTTGTAAACCATCATAATATGTGACATGTCTGTATCTGTTTCTCCAGATTCTCAAAGAAAGGCTGAAGGGGCCTGCATCCAAATCGATACTGCTAGAGTAGTACGTTTTAAAAATATTTAGTGTATTCTGGTTCTTTAGAAGAGAAAGCAATCTATGGGTGCAATAATTGTAATGTTGATGACTGTAATAATTGACCAATTCCAATTCAGATTGGTGGGCAAATGATTCCAGAGAGAGACTTTGCTAGATCGGGAGGGACTAATCAAGCCAAGTCTTCTTGAGGGAGTGAGGTCTGCACCAAGGCAGGCTAAGCCACTTCTACAGGCCCTTTCGCCTATTTACTCTCTCCTCATAAAAAATTTATAGCAATTAATTTTAACGAATGACAGGAAGTGGGAACTTAGAATTCTAACAAGGCCACGCCACAGCCACATTGGCCAGAGTCCAGTGCAGCCTCCTGGTAGCTGCAGTTTTGTCCTCATTTCCCGAGACAGTGGAGCCCTAGGTATTATGTGACTGGCCCTTTTTATTCCCTTGGTTACTATCTTGGATCTTTGAATAAAGAATCACTTTCAGTCACATTTTCTGAGGCCTGGAAGCTTCTTACTGAAGTGCCCTTTTCGGGAGCTTAACTAGCTATTGATAGGATCTCGTCACTTTGTGGAAACGCTGATGATGTTACAGAATGGGCTGAACCTGCCTTGATTTGCAAATAGAACTTAATTAGTGGCCAAATGCCAAGGATTTATAGATTGGAGCTCTGAGGACAGGTTGCAAGGGAGGGAATGACTATATTCACAGAGCACTGGGTTGGGGATGGCAAGTCCTGGCTCCTTCAGCTGAGAGCTGTGTGACCTTGGGAAACCTTTGTAACATATAACAAAGGGTAAAGTGCTCTTGTTACTTTACCTTTGAAATGTGATATCTCTTAGTTCTGTGGCTGCATAATAGCCAGGGACCAAATGCCAGCATCCCCAAGTTTAGTTAAAGAAATTGCTAAGAGGTGGCATGCTAGATGGATTTTAGACTTCAAACGTTACCTATTCTAATGAGATATGGGCAGATGTGTTACACAGACAACACCTAGACCTGGAAGTCCATAGACATTTTGTGTGTAGAATGACCACTATGATGAACTCTTTGCATTGTTAGCAACCCTTTTTTAATTATGGACTCGAACCTCATCGCAAGGTTGCTTTTTAATGAACCACAGAGAGAAGGGCAAGAAATAAAGACCTGCAGGTACTTCTTTTAAAACTCCTTTAAAAATGAAGTTAAGAGCCAGGGAGATAGCTCAGTAGGTAACGTCACCTGTCACTAAATCAACGTCTTGAGCTTCATTCCCGAATGTACAGGGTGGAAGGAGAGATGCAATACCCACGAGCTGTCCCCTGACCTCCACATGCGCACTGTAATGTGCTCCACCCCACTCCCATCCTCCCCACAAGCACATAAAATAGAAAGCTAAAATGTAAAGCAGCAAAATATTAAGACATGAAGTAAAGCAAAAAATAAAAAAGTAAGTAAGTAATGGTATAAATGACACATTGATACGACTAAACTGTGCAGTGGCACCCAGTGACTGCAGTGGGCTTAAGAGGGATTGCCAACCAGGCGGAACTAGTCTTAGCAGCTGTGAAAATTTCCCAGTGTGGTTATGAGGACCTGGGAGAACATCTGTAGGTCGTGTCTCCTCGACATCTGGATAGCAGCCACTTACAGATACTCCTTTCTAATTAGAAACAAGAAGAGAGGCCTGTGATCCAATGGGTCCATTAGATTTTATGTACCATTGTCCTGCCCTGAAAGATGGTAAAGTATATATATGCCTGGGAGAAAAATTATTGTAAGAACGATGCTCAGATGGAACTGGAGAGATGGCTCAATTGTTAGAAGCTATGCCATCCTCTTCTAGAGGACCCCATTTCAGTTGTTAGTACCTGTGTTGCATATCCTACAACCACCTGTAAGTCTGTCTCCAAGAGGCTTGATGGCTGCTTCTGACCTCCAAGGGCACTTCACACACAAACACACACACACACACACAGAGTATTCACTCATACAAATGACACACACAAATACACCGATAAAATTAAATTTCTTTAAAGATTTATTTATATCATATTTTATTTATATAAGACACTGTAGCTGTCTTCAGACACACCAGAAGAGGGCATAAGACTCCATTACAGATGGTTGTGAGCTACCATGTGGTTGCTGGGAATTGAACTCAGGATCTCTGGAGAAGCAGCCAGGGCTCTTAATCACTGAGTCATCTCTCTAGCACCCTTAAGTATTTTTTTTTAAATGACAGTGTGTGAGAGCCATGGCAGTTCTCTTTATACTCTTTCTTCTAGTGTCCCTAACAATCTAAGTTGACATCTCTGAATATCAAAAGTGTGTACCCGGATGACTGGAAGGCTGAATTTTCTATACGGAGATAGAAGTACTGCTGGTGTCCCTGTTTGACACAGAACCATCATTGAGTGTGTGTGTGTGTGTGTGTGTGTGTGTGTGTGTGTGTGTGTGTGTGAATAATTCCCTCATGACCTCTGATCACCAGGAACATCCTCTGTTCCATGGTGAGTAGGTGGCAGACAATATTAGGTGTCAAAGCTGTGATGCCTGTGAGCACAGAGAACACTCAGAGTTCATTGTGGTTGTCTTCTTGTTTTTCAGATGGACAGTCTGAGGCTGAGAGAGGGCTAGTGATTTCTCGGACACTTGGGCAGTAGGTAAGTTATGACTGAATTGGGCCTGAAACAAAACATACGTCTGGTTGTCAGAACTTAGCTTCTGCAACCACGTGCACCCCAGGCTCCAGGCTTGTCTGTTTTGTGCAATTTGAGTAAGGAAATGCACAGAGCCGCTTTGAAGCATTTGGATATTAACTGGGTTGTTGTTTCTGTTTCATCATCATGATCTGCTTGAATCATTGTGAAGATCTCTTAGGCTCTCTTTAGTGTCAGGCCTTTCCTCAGGATAGTAGGACTGTTTAGAACCTGGCTGGTGTGACACTCCTGCTCGGACACCTCTGTAGACCTGAGTGTGTAATCAGGAGTCAGAGGATCTGTGTGTGCTCAGACCCTGAAACAACCCATTCTATGACTTCCAGATATGAACTCGGATGTATTCGCTATAACTAATTCCTTTAAACTGTTTTTCATCAGAATATTAGGCTCTGTGCTGGGCACACAAAATGACAAGTTAATACAGAATAGGATATGCCTCCAATATATAAACACCTCCTCCGATCATTATTGCTTCATGGAAACTTCTAACACCCACTTTGGAGTTCACGGTTGTAGTGCTTTTCCGATTAAGTCACATTGTAAGACAGAACACCATTGGCTAATGTTATTTGACATAGGTAGTAAACCTATAAACAAGACAGTGCCATGGATGCGAGCCTGAGATGTGAACTAATCCCAAAGTCTTTCTGGTCTCAATGAACTTCCTTCCCTCCAGGGGTTTTATCTCATGGATGGGAACCCTAAAAAAAAATTGAAATGGACATTTTTAACTTATTCCTCAGCAGTAAGAATGTATCTGGGGAAAATGGAAAGTAAGACAGGTTAATCCCAGATAGGGATATTTTTTTTTGCATAGATTTTGTTTTGTTTTGTTTTTGTTTGTTTGTTGGTTGGTTGCTTTTTGGCAGAAAGCTAAAAGTTGTGAGTTCTGGGCAAGCCAGTAACAAGAGGAAAAACCTACCCAGTGCCAGGGACAAGACTGTTTCCAAGTGGCTGAGAGTTAGCATATCAGAGAGATTCTGCCAAGGGCTGTGGGGACATTCCCCTTGTAGTGCAGTGACCCTGCTGAAGCTGGCTGCTTCCTAAAGCTCAATGGTCTGGACACTAAAGCAAGCACTTAGCTCCTGCCTTTGCAGAACCTTGCCTCAGGCACTGCATGGAGAATGGGACGGATTAGAGGCCGGGCTGTTTGTTTATATGGAGAACACTTCTTGTAGTTGAAGCTCTTGGGCTCTTTCAAAGTCTGGAATTTCAAAGGGTGCATGAATAACCTCAGGCCTAACCTGTGTTTCTATTTGAGTGTGCATTGGGGCTGGCTGGTGGTCCTATTTAATTGAGGAGACATGCTTTGTGGATTATGATGGTAAGGGAGGGAGGGAGCAAGGGAGGGAGAGAGGGGAGAGAGGGACTGAGAGAAAAAAAACACCTTTGAGAGAGGGGGAGGGTGAGCACAACGCTTAGAAAGCAATTCTTACAAGGGAATTTCTCTATCTCCAGATTCAAGTTTTTAGCAGGACCCAGAAATGGGCTTTTAAAAGATTTACTTTAATTTTTAATTCATGTGTCCGTATTAGTGTAAGCCACATGCATACAGGCACCAGCCTCCATTGGATTCCCTGATAGTTGGTGTGACAGGCAGACAGGTGTTTATGGTCTTCCAATGTGGGTGTTTGGGCCCTCTGGAAGAGCAGTAAGCACTATTACCATTGAGCCATCCCTCCAGCCTCCAGAGTGGCTCTTAACAAGCCTTCTGGACCTCTCAGATGACAGTGGGAGGCCAGCTGTCCCTTCATCCTGACTAGAATTACCCAGATCTCTCTTACCTTCTTCTTCAGAGTCAACTACAGACTCTTGCTTCTTGTACTGATCTCTCTGTGACAGGCACCCTCCCAGCCTTAGCAGTACCCCCTCCCTTCAGGGCTGCGATCTTTCCCTCCACCTGTCTCCCTCAGCACTAACTAACAGCACAGGTGACCACCTGGCCTGACAGATGATAGCTGCCATGCTCTTGGAACCTCATCCCTGTGTTTCATGTTGTCCCAGCAAGAATCTTTGGGGTCTTTGTTCAGCAGTTGCTCTGAGCTGGGAATTCAGGGACATCTTTCTTTCTCTGCAGGTCACATTCAGCTGCAGACAGCCAGCAGGGCAAGGCCTTTCCTTGCCAGGTAGGGTTTCCCTTCATCCCACACAGGACAAGGGGAAGGCTTGTTGAAAGGCAGGCTTGGCTCTATATTGCAAGCACTCTGCCAGGTCTCCTGAGTAGAGCCTGTTCCCAGAGCGATTATCTTTCCTGCATGAGAAGCAGGTGCTTGGTGACAGGAAGCAAGGCAGGCTTAGCAACAGACTTATCAGGCTCTCTACAAGAATGTCGTTCCTGTAAACAGGTCTGAGTCTGTGTTGTTTTGTTCCTCTCACCTGCTCAGTTGTGGGGCTGGCGCACTCTAATTTGCACGGCTGTGCTGCAGAGGTAATCAGTCTCTGCAATGTAAAGTTCTGTCTGCAATACTCCTGTTTATCCCCCACAGTACTCTGAAAGGGGCCAGGCCAGACAGGTTGTGGTCTCCAGAGTCTTCTCTGGAGAGTGTGTGTGTGTGTGTGTGTGTGTGTGTGTGTGTGTGTGTGTGTGTGTTCCTGCGTTTAATGCTATTTAATCTCTTTGCACAGGCTATTGCATAGTGGTTTTGAAAGTGAACCTTGTATATGGCTGCCTAAGCAAGGGGATAGAGATGTGTTGGAATCAGATAAAACTGTCTATTCCTTATATTGATCCTTCCAAGAAGGAGGCAGCTTCCCCTCACTTACTGTGCAACCCCTTCTCCGTCCAAGGCTGTGATCTCTCCTCCTGTCTTGTTCACAATGGACAAAGCTGGTGTCTAAACTGACAAGATAGCTGCTGTGTGCCTGGATCCTTAGCCCCTGGTGTCTCATGTTGCTCTAGCAGGAAACTTTGGCGTCTTTATTCACATGGTGGGTCTATTTCTTTCAGCCTCAGTTTCTTCATTTTTTTTAAATGAAGGGCGGACCATAGGGCAGATTGCTGATAATGCTGAAGGTACACCTGACAGACATGTAATAACTATAATTAGTATTTGTCATCGGAGCAGAAGTAGTAGAGATGTCAGTATCGATAATGCATCATTTTTATAGAACTTTATATTCTCCAAGGTTCTCTTATGTCTGATTCTGTCAACAAACCCACAAAAGAAACAAGATGAGGACCATTGTCCTGCCTGGAGATAAGGAGACAGAGAGAGATGATTCGAGGTTTTTGCTTCCAGCTGCTGGATGCCTGGATAGAGCCAGCAAGAGCCTTGTAGCCATAATGTGGAGGTAGAGAATAGGAACCTGGGGTGCCTAGGGGAGCCTAGAGGCCTAGCTTTTCCTAAAGCTCCAACCACCTCTCTCTCCTTCCTTCTTTATCATTTTCTTCATTCTGGAGGTCTATCCTATTTATTTGAAGCATTCTGCCTGATTCTTGTCAACTGCTTCATCTATGGGTCTAGCTGCTCATTCCTGTGGCTGACATCCTTGACCTACAATGGTCTCCACACCAGAAAGGCCTCACATTCTGGTAGCTTGTTGCCTGCCTTCAGATTTCCCAGACACTCAGTCCAGGGCTGGGAGAGCACAGCCACTCAGTGTCAGCTTTCCATATATCCCTGAATGCTCCTACTTTCAAGGCTTATCCTGCCCTCTAGCCAATTGACATCCATTAGTATATACAAGACCCTCTGGTGACATATTAAGTATAATGTGTTTTCTAACTTTTGTCAAGATGAGATAAATCAGTTTCAACAAAGTTAGTATACATGGCCAAGATTGCACAATTTTGCAATAATGCTGGACTTTGGATCCAGGTGTTCAGACTAGAAGCCATAAGCACTTACTTTATATGAAGCCTGTAGTATATAATACCTAGTCTAAATGGGGTGACCCTGACTAGTGCTGGTTCTTTAAGAAATAATGCAGCATCCTAACCATTGGCTCTATGTGGTCTTCTTCCATTGGCTGGTGAGGTTCCCTCAGGTAGCAACCAGAAGCCCCAGCCCCAGCCCCGGCCCCAACCCTGGCCCCGACCCCAACCCCAGCCAGGCATAGGGTCTACAGCAGCTGAGGGATATGGGATGAAATAGTCAACAGTATTAGCAATAAGTTATTGAGTGTGTTAACAGTACACAGCACTAAAGCTTTTACATGCTGCTTAAGGATGAGGTGAGCCCAGAGAATTGCGAGGTGAGGTGATTTCATTGTGCAGCCCTCAAAATTCAGACTCTTCTAAACAGCACAGGGTTTGCTCACTCCATATGGCCTCTTAATGCAATCAGACGTATAATTAGCATAGATATGTGAGTCTAGTGCTGATATAACATGGCAAACTTACGAAAGTGTTTGTAGTAAGTAGAGGTATACGCTAAAAGAGTAACCTAAGAAAACATGCTAAATCAATGAACTTAAAGTAGCTTGCTATCACTAGAGAGTAGTGTTTACTGCAGGCAATGTACATGCTACGCTTTCATACCTCTAGCAGTGCAATAAATTGTTTACATTAGCATCACTATAATCATATGAATAACACATTGAACTCCACCATAGTAATGACGTGACCACAAGGCAGTAAAAGTTCTATCAGCTCAGTTATAATCTCAGCAGGTTGCTATTGCATACGTGATCTGTTATTGACCAAAACATCCCTGGGTGACATATGACTGTATTATTTTGTTTAATTTCTGCAGCAACCTCTATAATAGATGCTGTAGTCATAAAGACAATGGCTCAAGTACCTTGCATCCCTTTCCCAGGTTGCATGACTGAACAGTATCAGACTCAAGAAGGAATCTGGGTTAACGGACATAAGAGCTGGCATTCAGTGGATGTCTTGCCCTACTGAGTGAGATGTTCTTGTTTTCTTAAGTTATAGACACAGCTGGTAGCCATGGCTGTATCTGTGAATTCCTAAGAAACTGTCGCTCAAATCTAGTGCT